GAGGGATCCACCCTCATGACCTAATCACCCCAGAGGTCACACCTGCTAATACCATCACCTTGGAAGTTAGGATTTTAACACATGAGCTTTGGAGGGGTAAACATTCAGATCATAGCATAAATGTTAATTACGTGTACAATTCTGGTTTCTGAATATTCAAGAACCAGTTATCTCATGGTCATTATGTACTGATGATTATTGAGTTTTGAAGTTATAAAGGTGTAGATAATAAAGCAAACAGTTTCATTGTTTATGATGATATAAGTATCAAGTCTGTCACAAATTGTTCCTTTTATATGTTTTCATCAAGATGGACAGTTTAGGATGTGATTTGCCTGACAGTTCTGTCAGTCATTCTTATGAATGTTGACATTGTCCCTTAATGAGAGAAGTCATAGTAGATTGAGGGAATAGCTGTGAGACTCTTGAAGCATGCCATTTGTAAGAAGATGGGGGTCGGGGGAAGTTCTAAGATACAAGTTGCTGTTGGCATAAGAGTTGAAGTGACTTTGTTTAAACTTTTAAACTAATACTTTGGGGTGCTGTTGTCAGTCTGAAATTTGTGTTAGTGTTCATAGTTTTAAGCAATAGAAAATCCCTCTAAACAGAAAAANACTTTGGGGTGCTGTTGTCAGTCTGAAATTTGTTAGTGTTCATAGTTTTAAGCAATAGAAAATCCCTCTAAACAGAAAAAGTATTTTTAAAGCAGATAACTGGGTTACTCATAGAATTTCTTAAATGGTAGAAGAACTAGGAATCTGTAGTCAGGAACAACAATCCAAATCATACCACAAACCTGGGACAGTGAAGGCATCACTGTTAGATGGTATATTCACCACTTTGTACTCTCTCAGTAACTTGAGGCAACAGATACTCCTAAAACTGCTGCCAGTGCTTTCTTGTAAAACTGGATGGATTAAAGGATGAGCTAATTCAGCCTGTATTTTCTTAGCCATTGCTACTGCCCTCAACCTCACCAGAATGGGTAGATTGCTTGTGGTCCTTGTTGCTGGTGTCACCTTTGCTTCGTTTTCTTCCCTCTCTAACCCCCCTCTTGGTTTGTTAGAGTGGCAAAACCCAGATCTTAAAGCCCTTGTTCCGCCCGGCTGGGCGTGGCTCAGCGGTTGAGCATCGACCTAGGATCCAGGCAATCGGGGTTCGATTCCTGGTCAGGGCACATGCCCGGGTTGTGGGCTCCATCAATGACTCTCTCATCATTGATGTTTCTTTCTCTCTGTCTCTCTCCCTCTCCTTTCCTCTCTCTGAAATCAGTAAAGATATATTTAAAAAAAAAAAAAAAAAAAAAAGCCCTTGTTCCAATTGCAGTGGAGGTTTTGAAGGTAAAATACCAGATGTTTTCAATTTCTTTGATTCTGCCTTAAAAGGAGGATTCTTCAAACATAGGAAGGTAGTTTAGATTCTAGATAGCCACCCTAAAATGCCAAATGTCCATGACATTTTGTGAGTGAAGGGCCATAGGATTTGTGGGTATCTTTGCTACGATTTGAATGTTGTTTGTATTTTTTCCCCTTTCTAATATTGAAAGATTGAGTGAGATGTAATGGTGGATATAAAAGAAGACCGTTAATAAGAAATCTAAATTTTGTTACTGGAATGGGCCCTAGGAATAATCTAAGCCAATCTAAAGCATATCAATTATAAGAGCTAATGTTCCTTAGGTAAGTGCCATTTGCTGAGAAATCATCTTGACTCCTGATAATGAAACCAATTTCTACCCTCGTTAGTCTTCATAAAGAAGCTGCTATGTAATGTAATGAACAACACCGTTATAATATCCAGTAACAAATTTCTTTGGCATTTGTCCCTGCAGCATCAGGGCAAAGTGCAGTTCAGTAAAAGCAGGTAAGGCAAGCTGGAGAAGTGAACTGAGAGAATGCTCAAAGGCAAGATTCTTGTCAGAAACTAATTTTGGGAATTCCTGTAGTATATCAGACAGGTAATTGATGTCCTTATAGCATATATGGATCTGAGCCCTGGCTTGTTGCTTTGCTATTGTTTTTTGTTTGTTTAATGACTTGCCTCAGCTAAACTCTTTTGAATGTGTTTCCCTCTTAATGTCTGCTTCTGAAGTCACTGCTCAACTCCCCCCTCCCCCCCCAAGTTTGTTAGACTTGGTAAAGGACAGCAAAACACAAAACAAAAATAGTCTGGAGATTCCTTCCCTAACAAGGCTCTAGAAGAGAGAAGGCTATAATTTGGAATTTCAAAAGAAAATATTTGAAGGAAACTTTCCTCTTCTTGGAAGGCTACTGCTTTTTTCTTAATTTTTTTTTTTTTTTTTTTTTTTTATGCCTGGCTTTCTAGAGGTTGTCCCTGGGCACTATATTTTAGTGGTCTGCTAATGATTGATTAGAGGTTGTTCCTAAATGCCTTGAGCCAGTAAGGGTTTCATCATTTTTCTTTGAATCTGTTTGTGGTTTGGCGAATGTTTTCAAATTTTAGGAAATTTAAAGTTTATCCCACATACGACCAGAGACTAGTGTTCAGTGGTTCTCTGTAGTGTCTCTTGAACAGGAGCAGGAGCAGGAGCAGGAGCAGGAGCAGGAGCAGGAGCAGGAGCAGGAGCAGGAGCAGGAGCAGGAGCAGGAGCAGGAGCAGGAGCAGGAGCAGGAGCAGGAGCAGGAGCAGGAGCAGGAGCAGGAGCAGGAGCAGGAGCAGGAGCAGGAGCAGGAGCAGGAGCAGGAGCAGGAGCAGGAGCAGGAGCAGGAGCAGGAGCAGGAGCAGGAGCAGGAGCAGGAGCAGGAGCAGGAGCAGGAGCAGGAGCAGGAGCAGGAGCAGGAGCAGGAGCAGGAGCAGGAGCAGGAGCAGGAGCAGGAGCAGGAGCAGGAGCAGGAGCAGGAGCAGGAGCAGGAGCAGGAGCAGGAGCAGGAGCAGGAGCAGGAGCAGGAGCAGGAGCAGGAGCAGGAGCAGGAGCAGCCTTGTGCATGCACACAGCCTTCCTGACTACCAAGGATCTCTCTATTCAGTTTCTGTCTGGGGTGCCATTTTGTTACCTTTCCTGACCAGTATTGCTGGAATTGTTTGCTACTGAGAAGAGACTACCCTTGTTTTTGACAATATTCCTAGGCATAATTTTTCCAAGTGCTCCAAATAAAGTCAGCCCCTCTTTGGCCAATCTTTATGGCCTGTCGTGTCTTCTTGGGGTAGAACTTCTGTGCCATAAACTCAGCATCACCAGGGATGCTGATGCTATAACCTCTAGCTGAAATACCACATTTCTTACTGTGATTTGGTAGATTTTCTTGAATGAATGCTTCTCTTTTTGTTATGTGTCCTTTGATAAATTCTCAGGGACTTTAGTTCTTTTTGATAATCTTTTCCTGTTTTTTTAAATTGATTTTAGGAGAGACAACTTGCTGAGTGCCTCACAGTCATTTTGGGAGCTCTGGCCTTTCTGTTCTTTTTAGCTTTCCTCCGGTCTCTCTTCATATTGCAGCCCCCCCCCCATCTAGTCATTTCACCTCCAATTTTAAAAGTCTTTAAGTACATTTATATTGCTCTAAGAATAAAAAACAAATTGTAACATGATCTAAAATTGCCTTCTTACATAGTTTTATCTCACATGAATCTAACCATCCCCCCCTTCCTCATTCTGGACATTATCCAATCATTATTAATTTTGGGAGCAGTTTGCCTTTTATCCTTTACAAATCAAGGCTGTGGTGTGTGGCATAAGTGTTGGAATCTGAGGAATACAGATTTGAATTTCTGTTCTGCATTTATTAGCTGTGTGACTTTGAACAGTGTGCTAACTTATCTGAGTTTTTTAAAATCTAAAATAATGGTGATGGAGATAATATTTTATAATGTTGCTATAAGGCTTAAGTGAGATAATGTGTGGAAAGCTGTTAGCACAATACTTTGCAACTAGAAAGTATGTTTATTCCCCACTTGATATTCTCGTCCTATCATTTGAGTAAGCACTTTATGTGAAATAACAGTATACATAAGTGGAATCATTCTAGTATCACCATTCCACCTATTTTTTGAGTAAAAGTTATACCTAAATTTCAGTTACATTTAAACACATTTATTGAGTACTTCATATCTAGTTCATAGCATCTCATTTAACTTAAAAATGCTTTTAATTGCAATATAACATACTCAGAGTTTTACCTTTAAATCAAGGGAAAAAATTTTCCCCCTCTGGAATAAGACTATTAAGATTTCCATTTTTTTTTTTTTTTTTAAAACGTCACATCTGTAGAAGCAAAAATAGCACAATGAAATTCTGTATACTCTAACCATACAATAATCATGTTTAGGAAATTAACTTTAGTATATTTCTATTATATAATTTGACAATCCATCAGATTTTGATAGGTCTCCCAATAATGTCTTTATAGCATTTTCCCAGCTGATTAGTCTAGAATTATGTGCTTAATGTAGTTACCATGTTTCTTTATTTTCCTCTAATCTTGAGTGGTTCCTCAGCTTTTCTTTTACTTTCATGACATTGATATTTTCAAAGGCTGTTGCTTTTCAGAATGTTTCTCAATTTGCTTCTCTCCATTTCTTCATAAATTTGTTCAGCTGTGCATTTTAGGGCAGGAATACTGTGTAAGGCTCTGTAGAAAAGATGGCATGTACTTCCCAGTGCATTGCATATATGATGCGAGCTTGTGTCCTTAACGATGTTAACTTATATGAAGTGGTTAGGGTGGTGTTCACCAAGCTTATTTTCTCTAAAGCTATCATTTTTCCCTTTGTTATTAGTAAGTAACCTGGGGGGAGATACATTGAGAAAGTGTAAATATCCTTTTTCCCCAGTAAACTTTGATCAGATGTTTTTTTGCATCCTTTTTGATGCTTGCTTGCCTCAATCAGTTATTACCAGGTAGATCATTAAAATTCTGATAATTTCTAGTGTTTTAATTTTAGTGTTTCTGAGTGTGTTTATTAATCTAATAGTGATAATTATGAAATACTTTGCTGTTAACCTGCTTATGTCATGGGTTTATTGTTTATGTGATTTTTAGATTCATATACTGGACAGACTGGGGAGAAGTACCAAAGATAGAACGTGCTGGAATGGATGGTTCAAGTCGCTTCATTATAATAAACACTGACATTTACTGGCCAAATGGACTGACTTTGGACTATGAGGAACGGAAGCTTTATTGGGCAGATGCAAAACTTAATTTCATCCACAAATCAAATCTGGATGGCACAAATCGGTAAGATTGCCTTATAAATTTACTTTTAAACTTTCAGTAAACACCATGAGTCTTGATATAGTAATCAGATTATAAAGCCTAATTTTATTAAGAAATTAGTGTATTTTTTGCTAAGTGTCAAATGGGAAGAAGAATGCACTTCCAGTTTCCTCTTAGAAGGTACCTGTATTTCTCATCTGTTGGTAGCATTTAGAATTTATGAACTATATATTCTCCTCCTTTACTCTGAGCTAATTTACTTCTTCAGTGCTTCTCAACCAGAGATAGTACTTCTCTCTCCAAGAGTGTTTGGAAATGTATGGGGAATTTTGGTTAATGTGAGGACTGGGAGTGTTACTAGCATTGTAGTTCCTAGGGGACCAGGGATGCTAAACATTCTGCAATGTGCTGGACACCCAGTACAACAAAAGGTCATCCTACTCAGAATTACCCGTAGGGCCCTAGGTACTGCTCATGGAAGCTCATTTGGAAGCTCTCTAGATTGGTAGGCTTTTTCTGTAAAGAGCCAAATAGTAAATATTTTAGGCTTTGTGGGTGTATATGATCTTTGTTGCAACTATTTACCTCTGCTATTGTGGTGTGAAGACAGCTATAGATAATACACAAGGGAATGGGCATGGCCGTGTTCCAGTCAGACTCTATTTTCAACATATGTATTGAGCCAGTGGGCTGTAGTTTGCCAACTCCTGGACTAGGAGAAAACCTACTGTATGTATACTACACCTCATAATCAAGGAAGACAATTATAATACATAAACATGGAATTTCTACTCAGATCATGTTCAGATATTTTTTTAAATTTATTTTATTTTTATTTTTGTTTAAAATATTACAGCTGTCCCTTTTTCTCCCCAGTGACCCATTCCACCCCATCCCATCCCCCTCCCCAGTCCCTCTCTCCACCATTGTCCGTGTCCTTGTGTTGTGCATATATGCATATCATGTTCAGATTTTTAAAGACATTTCCTATTTATGTTCTTGTGTTTGATTATTTGGGTTTCTAGTGGTTTTATTCTAAGACTCCAACAGAAATCTAGAGAGCCTTAGGTAATGTTGAAGGAATTTTTCAAAGGGTAAGCACTTGTAAGTTATCTGAATGATGAATCAGGAAGCATTTGAAAACCAGGAAAGATTTAAAGAATTTATTAAAATAAACTTCTTATAGTCATGGAATTTTTTGTCTTGTTTCAAAAAATGAGTGAAATTGACTTATTAAAAACAATTAGAAATGTCAAAAAATAAGTATATGATGAATACAAAAACATAATCGTTGTTCCCTACCCGGTTTGCTCAGTGGTTAGAGCTTCAGCCTGTGGACTGAAGGGTCCCGGGTGTGATTCTAGCCAAGGGCACGTACCTTGGTTGCAGTCTTGGTCCCCAGCCCAGGTCAGGGCACGTGTGGGAGGCAACCAATCGATGTCTCTCTATCACATCTATGCCCCCCCTTCTCTCTCTAAAAAGCAATAGAAAAAAATATCCTCGAGTGAGGATTTAAAACAAACAAAAAAACATAATTGTTGTGTTTGAACTTCAAATTTGGCTTTGAGAGGGACACTAGGAATTGAATATGGCCATGCCATAGTTTTCTTGATTCCCTTGGGATATCCATACAAAACCCAATGTAACTAGATAGAAAATCTAAAAACATATCATAAACTAACCTCAGGCATCCAGAAATAAAAGCAAGTAAGGGCAGACCACCAACAGCTACGAGGCCTCTGTAGTATTACTATCTGTGCAAGAGTAAGGGGGGAAGGGAAGGGAATGAATATGCGGGGTGTTTCATTGAACTTAAATGCAGGAGACCTCCAAAATAGCCTCAACTATTTATTAGACAATGTGGTAGACTATATTAAGAGCAGCAGCTGAAATGAGAGGGTGGGGGTTGCCCACTCCAGTGTCCGGCAACAGTGTGTCCATGGTAAATACAGAAAATGATAGAGCAGTCTTGCTCCAAAGAATTCTTGAATTGTACCTGCTAGAGTTCTCTACCAGGACAGGGTACCACACTGAGTAGAAACAAATTTGAATAGAATAGTATCATCAAAATAAAGAAGAATAGGGAAAATTAAGAGGAACTAAAGGGAAAGGAAAGAGAAGGTTCAGATAAGGATAGACAGAGGAACAGCTGGAAGATCTCAGAAAGGAAGCTATCATTGTTTTTAATATTAATGAAAACAACAGAAGACTGAATTCTGTCAAGTTAGAAAAACTACCTTGAACATCATTTTCTTGTAAGTTCAGGAGAACTATTTTTATGTAGACATGAGAAACAGAAGTATCAAGGTAAAATCCCACTTACCGTTATTGTAAGGAACATTTTCTTTAATAACTTAATTTTGTATACTTAAGCTCTATTTTTACTCTCCCCCCACATTAATGTTTCTGATGTCACAATTTACATCTTTTTACCTTGTGTATTCATTAACACATTGTAGTTATTTTTACTGTTTTGCCTTTTAACCTTTTAGTTATTTTTACTACTTTTGTCTTTTAACACATTTACCCATCACTATTACAACATTAGAGTATTCTGAATTTAACCAGATATTTGTCTTTACTGGCGAAATTTAAATTTTCATATGTTATCCTGTTACTAATTAGTGTTCTTTTGTTTCAGCTTGAAAAAGCTCCTTTAATGTTTCTCCTCTCCTCTCCTCTCTCCTCTCTCCTCTCCCTCTCCCTCTCTCCTCTCTCCTCTCCCTCTCCCTCTCCCTCTCCCTCTCCCTCTCCCTCTCCCTCT